GGGGGGGGGGGGGGGGGGGAGGGTTTCTTGGAAATCCGCAACATGTAGGATCTCACACACATGCGCGATGTCCTGTTTGACACGTCTACTATAATACATCAAACTGCCGAACCACATCCTCAGCTGGAGCGAAAGAATGGAAAGATCACGTACCGTAAACTAGATACTGGTAATATGGTCGGTTCGAAGGCGTGCAGAGCGTAGACGCTTGAAAGGCGAAAAAGTGAAACATTGTGCTGATCTTCGTGGACACCAACAAAGGTACGTACGTATGTACATCCTATATCGGCTGACGGGATAACTCGAAAAACACGCAACAAAGAGAGTATGAAGTATACCTCTATTTGTTGTGTTAGGCCGTGTATTATCGTTTTTTTTGTCACCTAAATGAAATACCTAAATGGGATGAACCAATTTGTGTTTTTGGCCAAAAAGGGCTTGCGTCGTTTTAGCGCATTATTGCAACACCGAAGTTCAGCAACACCCAAATGCGGCGGAATCGCTGCCGCGAGGTGACGTGGTGACCCAGCCAGGTAGAGCGATAGACCATGTGCACCACACGAGAGCTGTAAAGATGTATCAGCACACACACGAAGCTAAGCATCAGCAGGTGGTGCCAGCGGTCCAAGCCTCATCCTCAGGCTTGCTCTACGACTGTTGTTTGGACTGTCTCGCTGAACACAACCGGCCGTTGACTTTTGACATCGCACATACTGGAAAGCAACTTCCCCAGCAACCCAACCAGCGCGAAAAGTTGGCACGCTCACAGATTCATTGCAATACAGCGATCTCCCAGCAGCGGGCAGTGGGCGATGCGTGTGGGTGCCGCACGGCCAGTGTGCCATAGGCAGTCCCGTCAGGGGTAACGCCAGCACGAGGTTAGCTCATCACGGGGGGTGCAAAAGGGGCGCAGTGCCACTCGGGTACTTCGATTCAGCAAAACCAATTCAATTTGCAATTGTTTTTTGCTGCACCCAATATCGAGGTCCCGCTTTTCCGGGCAGAGAAAGCCTCATCGTGTTTTTTCCTGTTGACCAATCAGCGTCTTTGGCCCCCGGCACTCACCCGAAACTTATTTTTTGCATGGCCTCAATTTAGGTGCAAATTTTGAACGTTAAAACAGGCCCCTATTCGAGGTATACCTCGGTTGTTTCTTCAACCGATACATCGATGTGCGTACGTACCTTTGGTGATGTCCACGAAGATTGGGCAGTGTTTGACTTGTTCGCGTTCGAACCGAAGTTGTAGCCTACAGTACCGGGATTTGTTCTTTCAATCTTTCGACCAAAATAGGAATGTCACGCCCCGCCCGACCGATTTTCAGACCCTCTGTTGTTCCACGATGGAGAGGATGCGGAACTCAAATGTTACATTTTCGCAAAGCTCCTGACGAGACAGCAGTTCCAATGCCGCCATTTCCGAGCACCGTCACTGTTTTTCCTGCCGACAAGTCGAGTCGGTCCAGGGGGTGTGATATCTTCTGCAACCTACCGTACTGCAGTAGACGACAGCTGTCGTTCCCGCGGTGCGACCGGCAAAGACCGATCACGATGCCACTTTTTTCTCGCGGGGGAGACCTGCGTGCGGAAAACCAATCGGCGTTTCTTGGAGCGCCACGAAGGCACGGCGGTACCCTATTGTATGAAAAAATATTGAATGGTGGTGGTGTCTTGAGAAACACCAGCATAAACAGCAAGTATCAAGTCTCTCGAAAAACAATAGCAGTATCCATTCCCGCCGCCGGGCATCATCCTGTGTTGGAACAAAAGTAAAATATTCTTCTCGAGCGCCGCAGGGCCATACAGAAGCACACAAGGAAGGCCCTAGAGGGTCGTCAGGCAATTCATATCTACAGCAGCAGTAGCCCTGCGCTTACTTGGCGCGTTTTTCCGGCCGGGTATACATGAACAGAACATGCAGCACCTCTCTCCCTGCACAGATACTATGATACCAGGTAGTAGATGGTGGTGTATACTTGACTGATGAAGGCTGGGTTGTGGATTGGGTTATGGCGGAAAAATGCTTCTTTCGGGACTAAGGTCTGACCATTCTATGGTCTAGACCACATCTTTTGGACGTGATACGTTTGGCCTCCACCTTTCTGATGCCCCCCCTTGATAGAACCAGGTCCTGCGGTTGACGCTCATACCGTCATGAAAGCGCTCGGCACACCACGAGGGTAAAATAATATTCAATGAAATAGTTAAGTAAAGGCAGAACAAGCCGCGCGAGTCCCGTGCCAACATACTCTCATAGGCGACAGCAGGATGACTTCAGACGCCTATCTAGCCGCAGCTTGTCCCGTCCAGTCCACCAGAGAGGTGGGAAGTATTGCAGTCAAGGCTTGATATATGTAAATACTGGCGTCCTTTTCCTTTGTCGACACGCGCTCAGGCCTGCTGAGCTCCCTTCGAGAAGAAGTGGAGGTATGGAAGGCCAAGTTTCAGGAGCAAGTGGAGGCCACGGCCGCAGCTGCAGGAGCCGCTGAGCCCGGCGACGCCGACGGCCTGGAGCAAGCTCTAAGTGATGCGGCCCAGGCGCAGGAGGAGGCCTCGCGGTGGAAGGAGAAGGCGGTAGCCGCTCAGGAGCTTGAGGGTCAGTCATTCACGTGTTGTGTTGTGTTGTGTTGCGTTGTGTTTTGCTTTTGTTTTGGGTGGTGTTCACGTTCTTCCGTTCGTGGTGCCTTGGTGTTCAATTATGCGCGCGTGTCTAGCTTTTCGATCGCGCTGAGACTTTGGGGGTTCGTCGCATGTTGTGTTGCGTTGTGTGCGTTTTTTGCCTGTGTTGTTGTGTTGGTGTTAGTTATGTTGTGGCGCATTGTCTGCATTTTTTTTTGTCAGTGTCCAGGGCCTTCGTGTGCCTTGGTTCGATTGTGGGCGCGTTTATTTTTGCATCGATGGTGCTAAAACCGCTGACCAATGACAAGACGTCAGTCTTCAACCGCGGGTCATTTTAACGCGAACACTTTTTCTTGTGTGCGCCCCACCCCTATGTTGGTAGAGCGTCGAATGCCCTTACCGGCTGCCCGATGAAAAAGCGTGCGGGCTAAAACCACCAAGACGCTGTGTGTGGGCACGCGTGTTTTGGTTTGGCTTGTGGCACGGAATGCGGCGTGTCATTGTGGCGTATTTCTTTGCATCAGTTCGACGCCCTTATTTTATGTCGAACACCCGATTTAGGTCAAACGCGTCACATGTGTTGTACATTTAAGTGAAGTTTTTATTTTCGTTCTCTCGCTCCGCGTTCGCAGTGCGATTCCTGGGGATGGAGGAAGAGCTCCAACAGACGAAGGCATCAGGCGAGCTTGCCCAGGAGAATCTGAAGGCGTCGCATCAGGAGGTTAGCGCTGCTCGCCGGGAGAGTTTGTCTTCGACACGTCAAGAGGGAGAGAGGGAGAGAAAGAACGCGAGAGAGAGAGAGAGAGAGAGAGAGAAAGCATGGACTTTCTGGATGTTGATGCAGAATCAGCTAGCCTTAGCCTTCCCACGAAACGTAGACACAGAACTCACCCCCAACCGCCCCCCTTTGGTCAATGGCCAAACGACAAAGGTACGCAGAAAATGAACACGTCCCCCCCACCCACCCCCCTCTACCAGCGCACACGCCTTTCTCGTCGTGGTGTAACAACCCCCCCCCCCCCCGCGCCCCGGGGGGCGGG